CCAGCGGTGAGGCTTTCTAGGCAGCAGGGGATGCTTGCTACTGAAGCCCAAGGATCCACGTTTAATTCCCTGGTTCCACATAAAAGTAGAAGGACAGAATGGAATACGTGAAGTTACTTCACCATGCACACGTGGCATGCCCACTGATAAAATGACACAGAACAAAAGAAAGGGAGAGAATACAATCAGAAGTCTGAGGGTTTGTGTATCCCAGGGGCGGGGCCTCTTATGTGTCAAGTCCTGGATTCAGTCCCCAGCACCAAAACAATAACAATAAAGGAAGTGAAATTCAAATACATTCTTTCACAGGCGCTCAACAGTACAGTAGCACTCAAAAGATACATATTTCGGAGGCTTTTTTTTTTTTTTTGGATGGGGGCACGTTTGTTTTTTAATTTTTAGTCTTTACATATGTTACGTTCTACTTTGGAGTTTTGGTAGTTTTTTTGTTTGTTTGTTCACATGTATGTAATTGAGCTCCTAGGGTTGTAGTGACGACATCAGCTATTGAGAGAAAGCAGGCCAACTTTTTTGTTTTTTAGCATGTGTGTATCCACTTGTGCATATGCCTACATGAGCATTGCAGACAGTTGTCACTGTGTGGGTTCAGGAGACTCAACTCGGGTTCTCTGCAAAAGCAATCCGCACTCTTAATCAGCCCAGCCATCTCTCCAGTTCCTCCTTTCTGTTTCCCAGACAGAATATTGCATATTGTAGCCTTGAACTACAACTCTCTCTGGTTCTCTTGCTGCCTTAGCGTGCTGGGCCCTGGGATTACAGGCTTGAGATCCCATGGCTGATTTGTTTCCTGTTTCCTTTATTTAGACTCACCTTGAACCAAGTATTGACAGTTATTGAAATCAGTTCTCTGTAAATAGTTAATCCTATGGAGATTGGAAACCACTGTGAGTGGAAAATCATGAGTGTGAAAAAACACTCCTATTTTCACGCATGTAGTTTTCAATGTTTATATACTGCTTTTTACATATTTGTGAAATAGAATGTGCTATTTTGATTTAGGACTCCCTGTCCAAGTAACAAACTCAGGGTAATTTGCATACCCTTCACCGTCAACTTAAACTGGGGAATGCTTGTTGACTGTGCTGGAACCCAAGGGCTTGATCCCAGCACTACATTAAACCAGGTGTGATGGTGCATGCCTGTGATATGAGCATTTGGGGGGTAGAAGTGGGGGGGATGAGTTCAGGGCCAGCCTTAGGTATATAGCAAGTTAGGCTTAAATTCATAGCCAGCCTAGGCTACACGATGCCTCCTCCCTCTCCCTTCTTCTCCCTCTCTCTCCCTTTTCTCCACCCCCTGTTTATCTCTCTCTGTCTCTGTCTGTGTCTCTCTGTCTCTTGAGGGAGGCAGTTCTGGAGAATTGAGCTCAGGGTCTCATGTATACAAGGCAAGTACAGTTCTACTGAGCTACAGTCCTGGTCCTGAGACCATATCTAAACATTAAAATGCAATAACTCTTATCAATTCTCTATGATGAGTCCATTCAACTTTAACTATTTTGAGCTGTGAGGTATTCTTGTTCACTGTATTCAGCCTGTGTCCTGTTGGATAATGCCATGGTACCGAGTTGATCAATCTTTTTCTGCCTCTAATTCCTTTAAAACCGTGAGGGTGCACGCACCCAAGATGTTAAACCACATTCTTTATGTGACCAGTTTTTCTGGAGAAGCAAACTTAAGAAGTTCAAGCTCGGCCTGCCCCACAGGCAATGCCTGTTTGTTTTTGAGAAATCTCAAATTGTTTTGTAGGAGAGAATTAACCCTCTCGGGGAAACATTTCAAGTCACTGTCCCATGGGAGAGCGTGAGGGAGGACACCTGCACCCTGTGGTGTGTGTGTTGGCGGGTGCTGCTAGACAGAGTCTGTGTAACTGAAGCCTCCAAGGGAGGGGTGGACAGCAGAGCAGCTGTCTTCAGCTTCATGGAGACCAGAGACCAGGAGAACAGTTCTTCAGATATTACCAGAACCCAACGGAAGCAAACCTGGGAGACTTGCATCAGAGCCTTGGCTGGAAAGCAGGGCAGCAATCCTGTTTGGATAGGTGCTTGATGAATGTGTGTTGAAGGGATGGAGATGTCACTCAGTTATTACAGCCCTTCCTAGCATGCCTAGAGCCCTGAAATGCAAGAATGTCCTATTTGCTGGCCAGTGGCGGCTCTTTAATCCCAGCACTGGGGAGTTCAAGGCCAGCCTGTTCTACAGAGGGCAGCCAGGCTACACAGAGAAGCCATGTCTTGAAAAACAAACAAGCAAAAAAGGCTAACTCTAAGGTTCTGTTATGTAGCCCAAGCTACCCCAAATTTACTATGTGGCCCAGGCTAGCCTCAAATTCATGAGAATCCTCCTGTATCAGCCTGCCCAGTGCGGAGATTGTAGGTTTGTGCTCCAGGCCTGGATGAGCCATTATAATTACTATACCAGTAACCTAGAGGTGTTTTAGGCGGAATAGAGAATATTATGTATATGCCTCTTAATTTTTTTTTCCATATTGAGAATTAAACTCAAGACTTCACACAGGTAAGGACGTTTTCTACTATTGACCATTATAACTCTAGGCCCTTAAAGTACAGTTTTACTTTTTTGTTTTCTCTCTCTCTCCTTTCCTTTCTTTTCTTCTTTTAGGACAGGGACTCACGGTGTAGTTGTACTGGCCTGGAACTCACAAGCTTCCTGTCTCAGCCTCACACAGGTGCTTGGATTACAAGAGTGTGCCATTTCACCTAGCTGTTTTGTGTTTTGCTTATTTTAGTGTGTGTGTGTGTGTGTGTGTGTGTGTGCGCGCGCGCGCGCGCTCTTGGCGTATTCGAGGGTGAGTGTGCATGTGCATTTGGGGCCCAGTGGGGCAGAGGTCTATACAGGTGCCTTTCTGGTTGGTTTTGTTTTTGAGACAGGGTCTCACTGCGTGACCCTGGCAGGCCTGGAACTTCCCAAAGCTCTGCCTGCCTCTGCCTCCCAAGTACTAGGATTAAAGATATGCACCACAAAAACTCAAGGTTTGGGGGTTATCTTTTTATGACAGGGTCTCTCACTCATCTAGGCTGGTCAAGGATCTCCGGGGACCCTGTTGAAAATAGCCCCCTCTCCCCCGCCTGGACCGCACACCTCACAAGCACACCTCCCCCCCCCCAGACTGCATACTGATCCTGGGTGGGGGTGGGGTGGGGCCATCTAAACTCAGGTCCTCCTCAAGTCTGCAGCATCTGACCCAGCCATCTCCCCATCCCCTGTGTTTCGCTTTTCAGGAATAAGAAAAGGCACGGTTTTACAGCCTGGATAATGAGCATAAAGGCAACAACTCGTGCTGTAAGCAGGCACAGGCAATGTATTCCTCAGTGCTGGCCTGTCCACTGCTAGCTGGAGATCTCTGGCCTTGTAATCTTTTCTGAACATTTCAAGGCTAGTGAATGGGAAAAGTTTTGTCAAGAATTTCCCACCAGCTCCAATAATACAATCTCGCAGAACTGGGGGGGGGAGGGGGAGGAACGCTGATATCATTTGTATCAAAGCAGGCAGTACAAATAGTACCTCCTGCTCCGCGTTCTTAAAGGAACCCCTCCCCCACGTCGGCGGCAGGATAGAACCCAGAGCACGTGATCCAAGGCTCTACCTTAGAGCCACCCCCTGGTTCTCAAACTGCTTCAACCACGTTTTCAAGTTCCTACCACCCTGCTATCAAAAAGGCTCCTTCCACTACCACGCTTGAGAGGAAGGGATGAAACAATGCAAGTGTATTCCAGAAGGGTGTGGAGTGTGGTGGCTGAGCGTGCGCTTTGAAGTCCGGTGCCCATTGGTTTGCCTTGCTCATCCATCTACCAACTGTGAAACCCTGGGTGCACAAAATGTGCTTTCTTTGCTTAATCCCTGCCATTTTCTGTTGTGGTAGAATGAGAATAGGACACCCGCCATCAGGCTGTTGTGAGGCGTGTATATGCGATCATATGGGCGATTTTTTTTTTTTTTTTAACAGTACCCGGTACAGAATGAGAATGCTTATGTTTGGGCTCAGTGCTAGATCACAGAGGCCTCGGATTCCACTCCCCAGCACTCTATGAGGTGGGGGAGGGGGGAGATGCTAATGTTTCCAAACAGTCAAAATTTAAATTGAAGCAGGGTGTGGTCTCTCAAGCCTGTAGTGTCTTCTCTCCAGAGACTTGGGGCTAGCTAGAGAGCTCAAGGCTACCCTCGACTGTTCTGTGATTCTGTTTCAGCCAACAAAACACCATAACACAAAACAAGTTGAGATACGTGATATTCTCCCAGATAACTAAGAACAAAGAGCTTGAAAATCTGTTTCTAAATGGATAAACTTTAGAGAAATTGGCCTTTGCGTATATCCACAAAAACAAAATAATTGACAAAACAACATTTAAAATAATTTATTTATTTTCATTCTGCATACATTCTTGTTTTGCCTCCATGTATGTCTGTTGTGAGGGCATGCTATCCCTGGGAAATGGAGTTACAGATGGTTGTGAGCTGCTAGGAACTGATCTGGGATCCTTTGGGAGAGCAGCCAGTGCTCTTAACCATTGGGCAATCTCTCCAGTTTCAAGAAAACAATTCTATCCTGAAAAGCTAATGAGTGGTTCCCAATATGTTCTTATATGACAACGAATAAGGGCCAGATGCCATATAAGTAAGTTAATGTATTAAATCTGAGGATGAGAGATGCTTATCTGGCATCTAGGCTTAAAAGTCCTTAATTCTTTCAGCACAGTCTCACTCTGTGGCTCTCAGACTGTACTGGAGCTCACTGTCCGACCCAGGGAGGGCCTCAGGCTCAAGCTGACCAACCCTCTTGCCTCTGCCGCTCAGACATCAGGATTACACACATAACCACAACCCCTGGCTCACCTGAGATTATTTTATGTTTTCCTCCCTACTACTGTCATGCTCAGTGCGGAGTAATACAACAACATTTTAATTGAAGTCAAATACTTATTGGCCGCGACGTTAATATAATGATTATCGAATCAGGTGGAGGAAGAAAACAGGCCAGCCCCTTCTTCGCTGGTATTCGAGATCTTCATGGTTTGAGAACACCAATGGCGACCGAACAGACCTAAGCCAACGTGGTTGGTGTTTCAGCATCAGCCGAGACAAGAGGCCTGGATGTGTAACCTTCAGCATCAGACGCTGAGAGGACAGGCACATTTCCAGTAACAGCTTCATTTCCCCGCGTTCCCTGGGGAAAGAGGGCGGTGAGTTCTGTTGATGGCATCAGCTGACATCACTGGCTGGGATCGTGGGGACGCTGGGCCCACCTCAGCGGTGGCCTGACTGCATCAACGTCTGGGTTTCCCAGCTCCTGCCACGTGAGCCGACCTAATATGGCCAGGCTCAGGAGCAGCCCAGGAGTGCTTCCTTTCTCCTGCAAAAGGAGAGAAGGCTGGAACAAATGCTTAAAGTCAAACACAGTCTGAAGGAGAGCAAATGGGGATTTGGGTTCGCGCCTGGCCAGATGCAAATCCCAGGGCTGCAGAAGCTCCAACCTTGGGGTATCAATCATTGAATTGAAAAACAAAGCTTTGCCCCCTTCCCCCTTCTTTCTTGCTGTCTCTGAACCTTCTTCAGCCCCGGGACAGATCCCAAACCTCCCGTCCCCTTTAGGGACCCGAGGAGCCCTGGGGGTGGGGTGGGCTGCTGGGAATCTGGTGGCTGAGCCTTTGGTCCTAACAGCCTAGGGGGAGATGCTGCAAGGCGTGTCTGGGCTGTGCTCATGTGATGAAGGGAGGGAAAAACAAGGAGGGGGGAGGAGGCTACGAGGTGGCTTTTTTTTTTTTTTTTTCTTTTAAGGAGTTTGCCACGAGCGCGTCCCCTTCATTCGCAGTCCGGGCGCGTTCTCAGCAGGATCGCAGAGAGCCGGCTCTCCTCGCCCGTAGTCCCTGTGGTCCTGGGAGCACGTCCCCTAGCCCCTCGGCGTCCCCGCGGTCCCAGGAAGGCGGCTAGCCAGCGGGAGTAGGAGAGCCACTGAGCCATGGGCGCAGGCAGTTCCACCGAGCAGCAGAGCCCCGAGCAGCCGGCGGGGAGCAACACGCCGAGCGAGCCGGAGCTCAGTGGCCACGGGCCCGCAGCGGAGGAGCCGGGAGCAGCAGGAGAACCCGCCGACGCGGATCCCGCCACCAAGGTATGCTGCGGCCACCTGCCCGGGTGGGGCGGGATGGAGATGGGGCGTCCTGGCGGTTTCCGCCTGCCACAACTTCCCGCCGGTGCAGCCCGACTGCAAACTCGAGCGCAGCCCTTTGCAGGCTCTCGGGGTCTTTCGCACCGGGGCGGGGCTGGCATCTTTGTCGTGGGTCCCAAAGGGCGGCGACCTAGCCCTTCCGCAGCCATCAAATCTGCCTCTGCCCGCCGCTTTGCAGCCTTTCCCCTCTCTTCCGGTGGGCTGGCAGCCCGGGGGGATGGCCGGTGGGGCATCCGTAAGAACTGATTGTGGCCAGGCATTTGAAGCTGCCTCACACCCACCCAGATCCCAGGTCCCAGAGAGGAAAAGTCGGAACGTGCTTTGGAGCATCGCAAACCTGGGTCCCAGGTTCCCCACCCAGTATTGGCCTTGACACCCGCTCCACCCGGGCCACCGGATTTGGTACCCGGAGTCCTGCGGCAGCGCCTGGGACACCGCCTAGCTGATGCAGAGAATCTGTCTTCCAGACAGAAAGAACCGGAGCAGTAGCACCAATGGAGGGCTAGGAAAGCTCCTGGTACCCTGTCTCCCTTTCTCACAGTTTGCTGCCTGCGGACTCAGTTGGATAAGCAAACATTGGAGTTAGAAGTTCTCCACCGATGTAGGCAAAGGCTTAAGCGAGCGTTCCTTCCACTCTTTCTGTCTACCGAAAAGCTCTAGAAATACTGCAGTTTTACAGGCCGGCTCCAGGTGGGAATATTTAATCTGGTACACCACAGCCTCTACCTTCGTGTCCTATTCTCATTATTGTGTTTTATTCAGTTCTTTTTCTTTTGTTGTTGTTCGGGGTTGCTAATTAATTTGCTTGTTTGCTTTGAGACAGGGTATCACTCTAACCTAGGCTGGCTTGGAACTCACCACGTAGCCCAACTAGTAGCAATCCTCCTGCCTCTGCATCTTAAATGACTTCTCAGCCACGCCCGGCTGGTGACATTGCTTTTTAGCTGTTTTCCAGCAAGTGGTGGTGAGCAAGACTTCACTCAGGTGGATTTATGGTATTCTTACAGAAAGCTGTGGACAACCAAACAAACAGAGACATCAACCAGTTGCTGAATTTGGGGATAGAGAGTAATGAGCACTGTTAGGAATGTTCCCGGAAATGTAGACATCTTTCCGCGTTGAACAAAACATTCATATCCAGGTAAATCTCACAGAGGTTGGACCTGCTCGCTTTGACCTCTTTAGTTGTCCTAGTATAATAGAGGATGAGTGGTTGCTCTTAACAGTTTCTAGCTCCACTTTTTAACTCATGGATACTCACTCGTAAAATCCAGCGTCCCCCTGCCTCGGATGCATAGATCTTCTAGAGGCGCCTCAGTACACTCTCCATCCATCCTTTGGATGCCTCAGTTACATCTTAATACTTGGCAACAGTCTTTCTAAAGAAAGAATAACTTATGAGAGGAAGAGTGCAGGTGTGTGCTTGAGCTCTCTGTGTGTAGGGGCAAAATGTGCCTTGTGCGCAGGTCAGACAACAGCTCTGAAGTTGGTTCTCTCACTTTACTTTTATGGGGGTTGTGGGGCTTGAACTCATGTTGCCAGCCTTGTGAAGCAAGCGCCTCTCCCAGCGACCATCTGTCTCAGAGCCCCACACCAGGTTTTAATGCTGTCAACATAGTTCTGGTTTTGAGTACAGTAATTTTAAGGTATGATTGCTAAAAATGTGTTGTCAGGAGACATTGCTTACCTCGGTTTTTATAGGATAGTTTTTATATAATAGTTGTATTAGCTGTTTACACTGAAATATGGACCTTCTCCCCTTCCCAATAAACTGCATTTGTTTACTTAAAAACATTCCTTCCATCCATTCTTCCTTCCTGCATCCCCCTTCTCCATCTTAGTCAACCACCATCTTGAAACATCCAAGCAGTTTCTTTTAAAAAATGACTTAAGTGACATCCACAGCATCACTAATTTGTTGGCCAGTTTCCCAGTTATCAATTTGGAGATGGATCGATACACTTGCGTGTGCTCGCTGGAATATATGTGTTTCACTAGGATCTCAGAATCAAGAATGGTTCAGTGTCCCCAAATTCTACCCTTAACCTCAATCTTGAGCTCCAGTCCCTGACCTCCAAAGCGGAAAGCAGAGAGGTTCCATCTGCCTCTTGGCTCCCTAACCCCTTGGTCCGTTCTCATTGGAGCCCACATTTGTGGGTTTAGGGGCTTTTAAGCTAATGGGCTTGACTTGTGTACATGCTCTACAAGTCTAGGAGCTTATCTGGTTTTGCTGGCAATCTGTCCCCTGTGTGAGGCATGGCACCCGGCATGAAGTGTAGAGACTTGGCAAGAGCTGATGGAGAGGAGGAAGTGATGATATTGGCTCTTGGGTTTTCCTTGGTTGATGCAAGCTGTCTACTCCACTTTTAGCCTCACCGTGATTAGCTTCATGTATCAGAAAGTGACTGAGGACCGGTGTGTTTGCTAATTAGATGGAGCAAATGGTTTAGGAAGAAACTCAGATGTGAAGCCTCAATTTGTTCTTTAGAAATACAGTGGCTCGGCTGGGCGTGGAGGCTCACATTTGCTATCCCAGCCGAGGCAGGAGGACTGCTATGACTTGACTTTGAAGCCAGTCTGGGCTACGTGAAACCTTGCTTTTTTTTTTGGTTTTTGTTCAAAGCACACACTGAGTTACTTAGAAGTTATGTCGTGGATATATAATTTTGATGGGTGTGTAGACATTTGGGGGAGGTTTATCCTCTTTGGATAGAATGATCCATTTTTTTTCCTTTTCACATAATGTAATCAATCATTAAAGATTATTATCAGATTCCCCCCCCCCGTGTGTCATACATTTATATCATATCATACATTTATATCATATGTGCTACATGTTTAGTAAATCAGTTAGTTTGGGGATTTTTTGTTTTTTAGACAAGGAGTCATTCTGTGGCCCAATCTGTCCTAGAACTCACTATGCAGCAAAGGCTGGCCTTGAACTTAATCTTCCTATCTCAGCCTCCTGGGACTGAATTTACAGCAAGGAGCCATATATACATATATATGTGTGTGTGTGTGTGTGTGTGTGTGTATTCTGAACTAGCTTTGGGCAGGATGCTTGGCATGTACACTAACACTGAGCTACAGTCCCCATCCCTAGTTACTAGTCATTTCCTAAGGGTCCCTAAAGGCCTTCCTGATTGAACTCTGCCATGAGGTCAAATAGAGAGTTAAACTTGTTTGATTTTTGTGACAGTTTCTCTGTATAGCCCTGACTTTCCTGGACCTGGCTTTGTAGGTCAGGCTGGCCTTGAACTCAAAGATCTGCCTATCTCGGCCTTGAAGTCGAAGATATGCTTGCCTCAGCCTCAGGAGTACTGGAATTAAAGGTGTGTTCCGCCACCAACCTGCTGGTGTTTTTAAAGAAATGATTACATGTTTAGTGTGTGTGTCTGTTCGAGCGCGTGCATGCCCAAGCATGCGTGCATGGGTACCCATGCAGGCTTCAGATCCACTGCAGCTGGAGTTACAGGCAGTTAGTTGTGTGCTCCCTGGTGTGGGTGCTGGGATCCCTCTGGTCTCTAACAGTAAGTGCTCTTAGCCATCTCTAGCTTCTGGGAGGTAAACATCATCTTCTTCCTCCTCCTCTTGTTTTGGGATTGAACTGAGCCCAAGAGAATTAAACTTTTGATTACTCAAGTTTAACATTTAAATGCCCTGTATCTTGGTTTTTATCTTTTGCAGGGAGTCCCATAGTCAGTATTCATATGCAAATTCTAAGAGGAACTAAATGGTTTGGTCAGTTATTTGCCTGGTTTAAGACTTCAAGGTTGCTCCTAGGGACAGTAGTTTGGTTGGCTCCTCATTTCCTCAGTTGTGTATTTAGGAGCTCTGGTCTCTGCAAATTTATATTCATTCAGTTGCTGACAGACCACGGGTGACCAGTGACTAATGAACTAATGAACTTCCGTTGTGCTGGTAGATTTTGATTTCTGGAGCCAAATTGAAAGCCATCAGAATGCCTCTGAATCAACCTTTGTTTTTCAATAAATGATAACATTTACGTGTGTGTGTGTGTGTGTGTGTGTGTGTGCATGCTTGCTTGCATGCACATATATGGAGGTCTGAACAACCAGCGGGAGCTGAGTTGACAGTCATCTCTCACATGGCATCAGGCTTGGCTGCAAACACCTTACATATGGGGTCTTCTTGGCAGCCTTGAATTAACCCTTCTATATTTTCTACTGATCAGTGATTTGCAAGCTGGAGATGGAACAGGGCCATTGTAAGCTGGGTAGGGAGGTGAGGTGCAGTCCCTTGTCAAGTCTTAAGGTTGTGGTTCCCCTTGACTGCAGGAGTTATGAGTCACCAAAACATGAATGATGCGCAAAGTTGAAGAACTCGCTTTTTAAATTAATTAACTAATTCTAATGTACATTTGGACAAGTGTTTTGCCCATATATATGTATATAATGTACATTTGGACAAGTGTTTTGCCCATATATATGTATATATGCACCACATTCATGTCTGGTGTCCCCAGAGGTCAAGCATCAGATTTCTGGGCAACGGGATTACAAATGGCTGTGAGCCACTATATGGGTGTTAGGAAGTGAACCTAGGCCCTCTGTAAGAGCAACAAGTGCTCTTAGCTGCTGAGCCCTCTTTTCAGCCCCTTGATTGGTGTTTTAAAGGATGTGTCTATATTAAACAGATACTGGAGGTGCCAGCCCATCCCATAATTGACTGACCTGAGCTACTGTGGTTTTTTGAGAAACTGGCTTTTAATGCCCAAGTCATCTGCTTTACCATGAACGGTCTAGAATTTAATGGAATTGGAAGAATTGTCTTTATCTATGACTTGGAATTTTTGTGGGGTGAGTGTGTGTCTCATGTAGTCCAGGATGGCCCCGAACTCACTATATAGAGGATGCTGTCCTTGAACCTCTGATTCAGCCTTCCTCCTGAGGAGTTTCTGCATGTGTCACTTATATTCCAGC